GGTCCCTAGCCTAGCTGCTTCAGAGTCTGCCTGTCTGCCCTTTCAAAGTATAGCCTACACACCCATGTAAGCACACCCAGGCTTAGGGACATGTCTCAGATTCAGAAAGGTTCATCAAAAGTTGGTGGGTATCAGAGACAAGATCCTTCTAGCAGTGGCCCCAGACCTATGGAATTCTCTCCCCAGAGAGAGAGAGATGACCACATCTGTGAAACACCCTCCCATCAGTTGTCACGGAAATAAACAACTATCTGACTTTTAGAAGACATTTGAAGGCATCTACCTTGGACTGGGTATCAGTCCTGCACTATCAGTCTCTTTTAAAGTTCTAGGGTGGGAGAAAAGAAGAAAAAAGGAGCTAATGTTTATGTGGAAACACACCCTCTGACCTGGAAGCCCCCACACCATTCCCCAGCACACAAGGCTTTTCTCTGCAGTTACTCGGTCATAATAGAAGAAAATGAATGTATCCAACATCCATTCTGGGGCAATTCATATTTTTAATGGTCCAAGGTCAAGCCCTGGCCTTGAAAACAATGTCAGGGCTCAGCTTCAGTGATTTCTGGCAGAAACTAAGATCTGTCTTTTGCTCTCCCATCCCCAGCACAAACAAGGAAAGAGGAAATGATGGGTAAACAGATGACATACGGAAAGTGTGGAGCGGGGGCAGGAATAGACAGGAGATGATCGTGAGTGGGATAGGCAGAAGAGCTTTATGCCTTTCTGATTACATGTATCAGGTTTTAAATGGAAGCTTCACCCACTGTCTGATAACCAAGGCACAATATCACTTTGAGCCACAGATGTAGAAGCTGAAACAACAGTCAACTGAGTAGGCACTTTCAGGCACTTGCAACCCTTGTTTGTGCAATTCCATCAATGCCACGAATGAATGGAGATGAAGAGATAATTTTTTCCCCAATTAAACAATTACTCCGTTGTCAAACAGCAGCAAGGATGTTGGAGGGTCTGTCACTGAACACGAGCAGAATATAATGGCTTGCCAATGAAAATATTGTTGCAAACGAAGAAAATAAAATTCTGTGTAGATAGTCAATGTCGCTAATGGATATGCAATTTTTCTGATTTGCTTTATCAATCTCTCGCACAAGGTGATAGGTTAATCACTCCTTTTATTGGCTTAATAAATGCCAAGGGTGTTTGAAGTTTAACCTTATAACTTAGTTAAAGGCAAAGGGGGGGGGGAATTCAGCATGGGGTCCTTTTGTGTATACCAAAGATAAAAATTTCTGCAGTCGTCTACCGTTTCTCCAAGAGAGCCTTGAAATACCCTGTTTAGAAGGTAGTTTAGGCAATTGCCATGTGGTCTTTCATGTGCATAGTATTAACTATCCACTGTATTTTAGAAATCCTCAAGAAATTATTTATTTAGCCATATCATGTTCTTCCCCAAGCAACACCTCTCATGGTATGTATTTCAGTACAGTGGGCGCTCGGGTTGTGAACGTGATCCGTGTGGGATGCATGTTCGCAACCTGCAGCGTCTGCAACCCGCAACCTGTGTCTGCGCAAGCACTCGTTGCGATTTGGCGCTTCTGCACATGCACAACTGCCAAAACCCGGAAGAAACCCATCCTGGTACTTCCGGGTTTCAGCGGTCCGCAACCCCAAAAACCGCAACCTGAAGCGTCTGTAACCTGAGGTACGAGGTATAACTGTACTGGTTTATATTCCATACCTCCCAAGTTTGGATCCTCTGTTCCCTTCTCTAAAACTGTGGACAGAATTGTACAAGAATGCATCTGTGGGTAAAATCATTTTCAATGGAAAATCTCACAGCCTACAACCCTGCCCATGGTATCAAAAGTACTTAAACAGGCTTTGCAGGATTACCCACCAAGTTAACTGGTCAAACAAATTCTACTGAGTCAACCGTGGCAGAGTGATTGAACCTAAACAGAATGAACTGAAAAGGTCATCCAGGCAAAAACATTTGACTAGCACAGGCATGTCCAACAGGTAGATCGCGGGGTGTTCCTGGTAGATCCCGGTCGATCTCTGGCTCAGCAATCTCCTTACAAAAAAAACCAAAAAAAACACACACAAAAACAAAGCTCAACAACTTAAAAGCTTAACAACTTTGGGTAGATCACTGCCAGTTTTTTTTATATTGTGAGTAGATTCCAGTCTATTGGATGTCCCTGAGCTAGCACAACTAAAGCAGCGCAAGAAGTGGGCAGCTTAAGAAACGTGGAACTCTGGAGGAGGGGCTCTTGTTACCCCATGAAATGTAGAGAGCCAATGAAGGAGATCAAAGTTTAAATTCCCACTAAAGCACTGTGTGACCATGGGCCAGTCTCTCCTCTCCTCTCCTCTCCTCTCCTCAGGTGGAATTTGGAAAACCTGTACACCACCCTGAGCTTCTTGGAGGAAGGGTAGAATTTGTTGGCATCCACCTGTCTCGAGAGACAATGGAGTGTACCTCCCGGGGTGAAGTCAAACAGCTGAAGAATCACAGTGCCTGCCGTGGCTGCTGAGACTAGTAACTCATAAACTGCTACCTCCTCGGTTGTTTTTGATGCATTAGCAACACCAAAGTGACCTCCCTGGGGCACAAGCCTAGGCAGTGTGTACGGAGGTCCTGGGCTGCCCAAACAGTAAGACCCCCCTCTCAGCCTCACTGATGTGGTTCAAAGGAAATACATTTGGCACCAGCTTGGCTGCAGGTGTCACTGGAAAGAGGCTTACAAGGTGACATTCAACCATCTTAGGCACTCCACTCTGGATTTGTGGGGGGTTCACTCCTTAGTCTCGCAAGGCAACGGGTAGAATATTTACTGTATAAATAAAATTAAGTCTCAGCTTTGATATTTTAGAAGCAGGAATCTCTACTTCTCAGGAGACCGAAATCACAAATATTTGATATTTTTAATGAAATAGCAGTATATAAATATTTTTAAAAATAAATACATTTCAACACATGGTAGCAAAGGTTTCACAGGAAACAGTGCCTACTCCAAATTTCATCACTGCTAGATATCCATTCAATCACCTTAAGAAGAAAAACACACACCAGCAAAAGCAAGCCTCGCTATCTTGCCAAGTACCTTTTCCCATTCTTAAATTGTCCTTCCTATCAAGAAAAATAATCCTGATGTCCAAATGAAATCCACTCTGATTTGTCTTGGAACCACTGGCCCTTGTAATTTCTTCAATGATCTTGCCAAATTTGCTGTTCTTTTCCTTCCTTCAAGGCAGCCTTCCTTCCTTTTCCTTCCTTCAAGGCAGCCATTCATCTATTTGCCAACAGCGGCTGGTCCGGATGGGGTGCTGGGGACAGTGGTAAAAAACTGCGCTGATCAACTAGCAGGGGTCCTGACAAGGATTTTTAACATCTCCCTGCAGACTGCTTGTGTACCATCATGTTTGAAAGCAGCCACCATTGTCCCAGTCCCAAAGAAAACAGCAATTAACTGCCTAAATGACTACAGACCCATTGCATTAACATCTGTAGTGATGAAATGCTTCGAGATTGGTTCTTCAACACCTTAGGACATGTTTTATACTGGATTTTGATGAACATCAGCTCGCTTACAGGATAAATAGGTCAACAGATGATGCCATAGCCACAGCTTTTCACCTTGCAGTGAGTCATCTGGAGAGACCGGGAAATTATGTCAGAATGCTGTTTATTGATTATAGCTCAGCTTTTAATACCATCTTTCCAGACATTCTTATTAAAAAGCTGATGGACCTGGACTTTCCCCTACCATCTGTGATTGGATTAAAGACTTTCTGAGGGATCGCACACAAATAGTGATGATTGGGCCTGTTATATCTACCATTCTGAAGCTCAGCACTGGCACCCCACAGGGATGCGTGCTGAGTCCCTACCGGTACTCATTGTATACATATGACTGCATTTCATCTGACCAATCCACTGCAATTATTAAGTTTGCAGATGGTACCACCATAATGGGTATAATTACAGGTGGAGATGTATCAGCGTATAGGGAGGAGGTTCAAAAAGTCTACACATGGTGCCTAGAGAACAACTTGCATCTAAATATCAGCAAGACAAAGGAGATGGTGTTGGGACTTTCAGAGGAAGAGAGAGGAACTACGTAGTCCCGTTGTATATCAGGGGTGTGGGTGTGGGTGTGGGTGTGGAAAGAGTCTCTTCCTTTAAATTCCTGGGAGTTTACCTTAGTGAAGACCTCACTTGGAAAATCAATACAACCCAGGTGGTTAGGAAGGCCCAACAGAGACTCCATTTCCTCAGGGTCTTGCGAAAGAACAATATCAAACAAAAATTGATGATCTCATTCTACCGGGCCACAATAGAAAGTGTCCCTTCATACTGTATAACAGTGTGGTACGCTGGTTTGACAGCCACAGACAGGAAGTCCCTACAGAGGGTGGCGAATACAGCACATGACATCATGGGCTGTCCTCGGAGTTCGTTAGATAACCGCTGCCTCAGGAGAGCGAGGAAAATTCTTAGGGACGACTCACACCCTGGCCAGCTCCTTTTAAATCTCCTACCTTCGGGCAGGAGATACAGAAGTATAGTCAGCCGCACCAAAAGGTTAAACAACAGTTTTTATCTGTGGCTGTTGGGCTGCTGAATGGAAAAAAATAGTGGTGTAATTGACTTCTGACAAGCACACAGAGTGCAAACAAGACTGAGTGTATGGGGGGGGCTCGTTTAATTTCACTGCACACAGGTGGTGGTGACAATAAAGGTTTATTATTATTATTATTATTATTATTATTATTATTACTATATGTCCCCAACTCATATCACCACCTTTAACTATTTTTCTCCTGCTGCATTATCAAACTTAACTCATTCAACTTTTCCCTGCATCCAAGCCCAAACAAACAGATGTGATATAGCATGGTCATTTATGAATAACCAAAAGGAGGCAAAAGTTTTACATCAAATATGCAGGTGCCAATTCATAGGCACAATACAATGGATTTGTAATTATAATGTAGATGGAAATGAAATATATTTCACCATAGTAGGAAAGATCATGTGGTACAATGGGTCAGTGCATCTGACTGTTAACCAGAAGGTTGGGGGTTCGAGCCTACCCAGGGGTGGCTGTGAGAAAATTTCTGCATTGTGAGGGGTTGGACTAGATGACCCTTTGAGGTCCCTTCCAACTCTACAATTCTATGATTCCACGTCCAGGTGATCTGTTTCCCTGCTGAGTCTGCTGTCCAGGGTGTTTAACTGCTGGTTTGCCACTTTAGGGTCCTTGCTCTCCATTCCTAGGATTCCTTATCTTTCAAGCAGACTTGGAAGAGGCAATGCTTCAAATAGAGAACTGTCTGCTTTAAAATAGAACGGTGACATTTACTGAAGAGAATATATCGATATGAAACCAAGAGATCCGAGGCCCTTTCCCCAACATCCCAAATAAGTATCTCTGCCATGCATAATCAAAATAAAATAAAAGGTCCGTTTTAAAATGTATCATAGAAAGGAACTAAGATCACCAAGTTTTGTCGCTCTTCGGCTCCTGATTCCATCCGCAGTTATCTCTTTCCTCCTATTGTACATGCAATGAGCAATTTCCAATATACATGCTCATTACGCTCCAGTGGAGCGCACCGTGATAAAGCAAAAGGTAAGCAGCACACATTCACCCTGATTACATAGGAGCCGCCACTGGCAGAGAAACTTATTCTCGGCTTACAAAATCCACTCAGACACTTGCACAAAAATTCACATCAGATATCTGATCTTGCTGAATGGATAATGTAAATACGTCGCACCCAATAATCCAAGTGTTATCTGCGTTCCAGCTACCAAATCATGCAATATAGCTATACACCAGGTGTAATTTTAATAACCTGAATGCACAAAGAGCAAACAAAGCACAATAACTACAGCATACAATACAAGGCTGATACCCCACCTCCCTTCCCCCCATCCCACACGTACACACCTTAGGTTGCATCCTGCTGCGGTATCTTGTATCAGGTAGCTTATCTGAAACATAAGCAGACCCAAGTAGAGGACAAGGAGCTCACAGTAAATGCTTTTAGGGCAAAAGGCTGAACCCTATTTGATATGTCATCGTCCTCATCTGCTTCAAATAAAGTCTGATGCCATAAGCCAAAAGTTCCTTATTCAAATAAATATCAGCTTTCAAGAAATCAATACTTTAAGTAAAGATATACTAAGAGGTTTTACCAACGAACAGCCAGCAGTTAATCTGCATGATTTAGTTATGTATAGTTAGCACCATCTGCGTATTCTTTTAATGGAGGAGGCATATGGATGTCAAGCTGCAGCTGGCTGACAAGTTGCATCCTCTGTACAGTGTCTTGCAACTGGCACTGTTCATCTCAAAATGCAGGGGGGGGGGATTTCAGCAAGCCTTCCTCAAAACAGGCTCAGAAAAGAGAAACAAAATAAATCTCAAGCACATGGTACAATGTCAAGCTTCTTTTTATAGAACATTTCCATCAAGTTTTTCCATGCTCCATGGAGATGAAAGAGCTTGCTAGGGTAAAACTAGGCATGATGTGGGAGCTCCATGTCTAGAACTCCCAACGTCTTTTTCTTTCTGAGAAGGCAGTAATTTGGATTAGGGCTGGGGGGCAGGAGCAATGGCTTAATCAGCCTCCCTTGTTATCATGGCCCAATCCACATCAGAACCTCCGACCCACCATGTCAAAGGGAGAGGGAAGACATTGGGTGCTTCAAACATAGAAGGTGGAAGAAGCACCAAGGGAATCATCTACAGTGGTGCCTCGCAAGACGAAATTAATCCGTTCCGCGAGTCTCTTCGTCTAGCGGTTTTTTCGTCTTGCGAAGCAACCCTATTAGCGGCTTAGTGGATTAGCGCTATTGGCGGTTTAGCGGCTATTAAAAGCTTAGCGGCTTAGCGGCTAAAAGGCTATTAGCGGCTTAGCGGCTTAGAAAAAGGGGGGGGAGCGAAAAAAATCTCAAGACTCGCAAGACATTTTCGTCTTGCGAAGCAAGCCCATAGGGAAATTCATCCTGTGAAGCGCATCGAAAAACGGAAAACCCTTTCGTCTAGCGGGTTTTTCGTCTTGCGAGGCATTCGTCTTGCGGGGCACCACTGTATCTTGGAACTGGTCCTCACCAACAGGGAGGAACTGATCGACGAAGTGGAAGTACAGGGAGACTTGGGGGCAGAGATAATGTCCTCTTGGGTTTTGTGATACAGAGGCAGGGGAAAGCTGACTGTAATCGGACACACACTTTAGACTTTAAGAAGTCTGATTTCACAAACCTTAAGGAACTACTGAGTGAGATCCCATGGTCAGAAATACACTCAAAGAGAAGGAAGTCCAAGATGGGTGGGAGTTTCCTAAAGGTGAAATATCTAAGGCACAAATGCAGACAATTCTAACTAGAAAGAAAAGTGGTAAGCTAGAGAAACCAGAAGCTTCAAGATGAGCTGATATTTAAGAAGGACAATGGAAGAAAGGGAATATAACAAAGGAAGAGTATACACAAGTAGCCAGCAGTTGCAGGGAGGTCAGGAGGGTGAACTTTAAACTAATTCAAATCCTCAGGGTCTGATGAGTTGTACCCAATGGTACTAAAATAACTTGTGGATGTAATATCAGAGCCTCTGTCTACAGTCTTTGAGAATTCTTGGAGAACAGGTGAGATCCCTGCAGACTGGAGGCAGGCAAATGTCCCCATATTCAAAAAGGGGGGAAAATAAGGCCTAGGTAACTACTAACCGGTGAGCTTGACATCAATACCACGAAAGGTCCTAGAATAGATAATTAAGCAGTTGGTCTGTTGGCACTTGGAAAGTATGCTGTGATTATTAAGATCCAAGTATAGGTTTCTCAAAAATGTGTCATGCCAGGCAAATCTCATTTGTTTGTGATAGAGTTACAAGCTTGGTGGATCAGGTGAATGCTGTGGACATACTGAAATCAAGACACACTGAGGCTTTTGACAAAGTCCCCCATGGTGTTCTTGTAGCCAAGCTGGCGAAATGTAGGCTGGATGAGGTTACAGTTAGATGGCTTTGGAGCTGGTTGACTGACATCCATGAGGCTGCTTGAGACAACAAAACTAGGTTGTATCCCATTAGCAAATTCAGGAAATCACACGAAGAGCAGGATGGCAATACAGTATTTGCAAGGAAGCTTTAAAGAGCTCAATTTAGCTTATCGAAGGAGTGGTTAAGTCAGCTTTGTCTAAAAACAAGCCGGCTTCATTACTGCAACTTATCAAACAGAGGGTTAAGAAGTGGCAGTCTAAAGTATGCATGCAAGAAAAAAGATATCTCATGGCTTAATCTAGCAGACAAAAGCATTTTTTTAAATGCAACAGCTAAAAGGTGAACATACTTGTAGGCAGCAAAAGCTATTAATTAATATTATGTGCGTCTAAAAAATAGAAGGGGTAGAGGTTGCTTACTGGAGGTTTTTTAATAACTACATTAGTCACTGAAGTTTGGAAATATGCAAGGAAGCATAAAAATGAGACAGCTTTATATTTAGCATTGCAGAGCAATAGAACTCTTGTTTAATAACTGAGTGGCAGATATAATGGTCTACCTGACCAGGCATGCTCCTCTATCAAAAGGAGACCACACGTGTAGTTTATATTACAGGTGTGGTGCAGTGGTGGAAGCAGATTAAAGAAACTGAGCTAATTCTGGAGGGTTTTTCAAGACTGTATGGACCTCTGACTTGTGAATCTTTTATGGCTTTTCACTATCAGTTCTACAGAGCTGGTTCCATTAAACCTTTTAATTTGACTCATACAGACTTACTTTCAAGCCAACGTTGTCTCTGGATTTCAATTACAGAAACACATACCAATAATTTCCTCTTAGATTTACAACTGGGTCTAATCCCTCAGTAACCCAAGTCAATTGAAATGAGCATATTAACCTCAGGGCTTGCTTACATTATCACTTATGCGGCAACGATAAGATCTTAATGGATTTCAACTTTGTGTTTGTTGACACAACCGATGGGCAAATCTGAGCAAAGTGAACATTAAAGGAAAGAGCTCTAGGCATCAAATGTCATCTTAAGCTAACCGTGCACAAAATAATAATAGTGCAGACAGTAACTGAGGTGGACAGGGAGCTGGGGAAAGTATTGACTCTCTGCTGAGAGAAATTCAACGCAGGTCTTCCGCTCAGTTTATTATACCTCAGGGCTCTGAGCAACAATGTCAAATGAGCCTGAGGAAGAGTAGCCCATTCGGAATAACAAACCTAAACTTTAAAGCATCAGGTCCCTTTACTGTGCACACAAACAGTTTTCAACATATATAAACTATTCAGGAACAGGACGTTTGTGAGGTATTACATCTATATTAGATAGGAGCCCATGTTAGTAAGTGTGACATCAGCTTTCAAACATGGAACAGAAGGCAGCATATTGTACACTGGAAAATTTGAGGAGAACACAAGAGGAGACCTGATCAGATCAAAGACCCATCTAGTCTAGAATCCCATTTTCACAATGGTCAGTCAACGCCCTCAACAGCACTCTCTCCACTTATGATTTCCAGCAGGTGGTATTAAGATATATGCTGCCTCTGACACTGGAGGTAGCAGTAGCCTGTACAAATTTGTCTAATCCTCTTTTAAAGCTATCCAAGTTGGAGGTGGCCATCACTTACATCTTACAGGAACAAATTCCATAGTTTGACTATGCACTGTGTGAAGTACCTCATCTTATGTGTCCTGAAACTTCCAACATTTGGATAAAGGATTCTTATTAGAAAAGGTCAGTGTAACCAAGCTTGAATATATTGCTCTGTCAAAGCCCAGGTTTTTTTATTTGTCTATACCGAAAGGTCCTACAAAGCTCCAAGACAGGAATTTAAATTAAACGTCTGACCCTAGTGGATTCTTTTTCTTTTAAAAAACATGGCATGGCTTTATGTTCCTGGACTTCTAACAATGGGCTTTGCATTGTTCATTCTCTGCCGCTTTAAAACACACACAAACACACAGTTATTCTATAGAACGCTTCCCATCCTAACACTACTGTGGCTTTTTCCATTTCATTCACCCAGCCATCAATGGCGATATTGTTTAATCTCACAAAAGACAAATCATTTGTGGGCGAATGAATTT